GCACATAATGAATGGTAACCTATTTCCATCCTTAGCAAAATAAATGTTTATAGTTACAAAGCTAGAAGTAATTTTGGCTGCTATACCGGGTGAACGGAAGCATCATAAGCCGAATTAGGTAGTATCACCTAGAGGTGCAAAAGCATATCCTCTCGCAGAACACAGCGTGGAGGGCATGAGAGCTTGCTGTTGAATGGGTAAAACATTTTTCCTTGTTACATAAAAAGCAAAAGCAATGTAGTTGGCAAAACTTCTGATGGCCCTATTAGGTATTCTCTTAATATGGTTCTGGATTTTTTTCCTTACTGACAACAATCCATTTTCTACTTTTATAATTGCTGTAGATGGTGTAAACCTTGCCATGGAGTGCATTGTATCTGGGAGATGGAGAAGTGAAAGCCCTGGTACCAAAGGATAGACAATTCCCAGCTGGATATCAAAGCAGTTTAAGGAAATCCTTCTCCCTGGGAGGTGTGGAAAAAAACCCTCTTTTCTAATGAGATGTGAAAATCCAAAGGCAATTTGGACATATTTATGCTTCTATACTGTGGAAGGGCAATGAACAGGATTAATACTTGGAGTATGAGTTCTCATACTCCTCATGGCTGAACCTGAGATTTTTTTGGCTCAGAGATGGCACAGATATATTCACCTTAGTAATCCATATCTGTCAAACTTCCTCTTGTAGCTTAAATCAGGATTCCATTGAGATTCCCATTCGAGTTGCATAAAGCTTTTAAGAAAGCAAAAGGATCCAGTGGCTGGGATGGCAGAAGACTAGAATTGTTTGGGATTCGGGGTATTGTGGTAACCCAGCTGCTGTCTTAGCACATTGCTAAGATACACTTGCTATTATTCTGAGCTATCAGGCGCACCCTCCTTTTCTCTTTTTCCTCCCTTATCTTTGTCAGCCCATCAGTCGAATTCACTCTTTTGTTATCATGGGCATACCCGTCATACCCCTTGTTTGGGGATAGTCCTCACCAGCTAAGAGATGTTAAGTGGGGTTTACTCTTTCCCGAAGACTGTTGCAGACTGCAGAGAAGGACTTGGAGGGCTGGGTACAGCTTGCAGGCTGCAAGTTTAAGAACCCTGGTTTAGATGATATACTGTTGTAGTATGATGGTTAAAAAACTGAACTCCAGAGGGGACAAAATGCATGTTCATTAATCAGGGTTTTTGGCTTAGTGTGTCACGTGAACATAATCAGTGTTAGGAAGATAAAATGATCAACTTTTGGATTGAGGTGGATAGGAGCAATTACCTCAAGTCTCTTGAAGGAAAGAAGATATGAATGTAATAAATACTGATATTACCTGATAATGTTTTCCTTTCCAACTGCTAAAATCTGCATTTAAATTGTTTTAATTAAAAGTGGTAATTCTGGTATTTGCCCTCGTGTGAAAGAATTACTGAAGGATTCCATTTCCTCTCTTTATAGGCCCCCAAAGAATGCAATATTTAATTTAGAAATGCTCGACCTTGTGTCGATGCTTATCTTAAATCATTTTTTTTTTCTTTCCTTGCTGCTGACACTCTGTTTCTCCCTTCCTCTCTCTTTCTCTTTCTCTCTGTATGTTTTAAATGCACTGCACTTTGAATCTGGGAAGAATGAAAAGCCAAGTTTGCATTTGGTTAAACATTTAAGGGGGAAAAAAAGGTATAGAATTGAGGTTTTCTGTCCTCTCTTCTTTCTTTTTGGTATGTTTCTGACCTTACTGCCTCTCCACTCTCCACAGAAATAGGGGTGATGTTATTTGGGCCATGTCAGGCTTGAAATATCCCATCCCAGAGCTGCTATAGATGCCTCCAATGTCAGTATGTTGACGGACATTCACTCACTGTTGGGAGTTTAAATTTATTTAGGCATTTATGGTATGTTTTTTCAATTTAAGAAGAAATTTCCACAGCGTGTGACAACAGTAGTAAAAAATATCTATAAAAGGAGGGAAGGAATAAGACAAGGAAGGAACATGTGGCCAGAGCATTCTGTCAAGAATTATGAAGTTCTGAATGAGTTCCAGGCATGACTAATGCTGTATCTAGTCAAGAATTTTTTTTCAATAGCAAGTATTAATGTGTTATGGGTAACATGCATATCTGTATGAGTTAATGTATGGAAATGTTGTCATATGCATATTAAGCTACATACCTTTTTCATATTTATGATACCATACATTGGACAGCACTTCAGACAGCAATGTTTCCTTTAAATATGTATTGTGCTTTCCCAGAAAAAAAAAGTATTCCTCTTTGTATGTGAGGAAAAAGTGGTGTCTATGAAACAGAAGCCTCATCCTCAGAGAAGATCACTGAATCTTTCACAAGACAAATTAACGTCTCAGAAGATGTGTACTCTCACATGTTTCACTGAGCTGTTACCAGGTCTTTCTATATATCCCTTTAAAGAAGAGGAAACTGAGCACCCAGCCAAACTGATTGCTCAACTCACTCTTTCATTCCTCTATGGTGCGGGATGTTCTCAGATAGCGCCACCCCCAAACTCTCCTGCAAGTATCTTTCTTCTGTTTAACTATGTTGCCCAGTGTGATTCAAATAATTTTTGGAATAATACTTCCATTTTGATCTAGTAGGGGAGTGGTTTAAAGGCAAAATTAAGTTATCTCACTGAAGCTCAATTTATCTATTATGCCTCTTGCTTTGGCGCTGGATACTCTGCCCAAAACAGGTAGCTCTGCTGAATTTCAGCAGTTCAGTCCAGAAGAGCTCTGGGCCAGCAACATGGGCCTGGAAGAGTTGCAGATTGCCCTCTATTCATTAAGCTATAAGCTGTGGTTTATGAACCACAATGGCTGAGTTCACACAAGACATTAAACTGAAATCAAACCAAACACATTCTGAATGTGAAAATGGATAAAATTATTTGGAACACATATGAAATTGCTTTATATTGATAGACAGTTAATCCATCAAGCCCAATTCAATTCAATCAGTTCTACTCTGATTAGCAAGAGCTTTCTAAGTTATGCTTCTGGAGAGTGTTTCCTCAGACCAATATCTGTTCCAATGTTATTTTTTTCCCAGCAGAAAAACAACAAAAAAATCAGTACCAGTATTCCTCCAACTTGTGTTGTGAATGAACAATTGCAGAGAATCAGCAGTTTTAACTGGGGTTTAAACTAGTGGTGCCACTCCAGTGAAATGGGCAACTATATTCCGTTAAGATAAATAAATAAAAAGGAGGTTTCCTACCCACTGTTTGCTTATACTGCCAGAATTATTTTAAATCAGAAATAACAATGACTGAACCAGAGATCTTCATGCAAAGTTTCACTTTACCATAAATGAATGCTTCCTCCCCCAATTTGTTATCACATGTCCTCTGCTGACCACAGAATCAACCTCTAAGTTATCATCTACACTTTACAAACCACAAATACTGTGTTCATAATACCATGCTAAGCCCAAACCAAACAAACCACATTTTGGCCTAGCGTAACCTGCCACTGCCCTTGAAGGATCTCAAAAAAGCTAAGCAAGGTCAGTGGGCCTAGTTAGTACTTGGATAAGACACCACCAGGAAATCCCAGGGCTGTAAATTGGACTGTGAAGATATCCTGGAAGCTGGCAGTGGCCAGCCATTTTCATGCAACTGCATAAAGTCCCCAAGTGTTGAGCCTGACAGGAGACTTGACATGATTATCCTTGTATCGTGGGACAGGCAATCTTTTTCTGAATAAGAAGTATATTTTTCTATTTTGTGAGGGCAAGGGCTGCCCTGAGTGGAGCAGAAATGAGGTGGCATCACTGAAGTGAGACTTTTTAAAAACAGCTTGGGGGGCATATTAGGAGTTTGAATATTTAGATTTCAAATGTCTAGGCTACACAACTCCAATAACTCTGGATGGCTTAATATATATAAATATATATAAAATATATAAAAGCAGTAAAAAGAAAAATCAGAATTTTAGGTGTATCAAGTCTAAATGAAAGCTTTCATGCTGCTTTGTTCTTTTCCTCAGATACAAAGTGGGAGGTTGTTTTGTTGTTTGTGGGTGGCTTGCAGTGATGCAATTTTTGGAAGTCTGGGATCTGCAAAAAAGGAGCTTAGGAGAGAATGGAATACCTCTTGTGCCATATCAAATTCTTTTCACCTCATAATATCTGATTGTATCCAAAAGTTGGTTTTCAGGAGGAAGGGGAGAACATCTAGCCCTCCGGATATTGATGAACTACCACTTTCAGCAGCTTCAGCTAACATGCTGTAGGATGAAGAATGCTGAGACCTCTGCTAAGCCGTGGAGGGCCACCAGCGTTCTGATCCTCCTGCAGTTCTGTGCCTGGATCAGCAAAGCTCTGTTTCTCTAAACAGAGATGGCTCTAGAACATTAAAATACGCAGAATGGTACAGTAGTACCAAAAAGGTAGGAAAGAGACGAGATGGAGCAGAAGAAATAGTACTGCCTTCGCAGCCTAGTGCCATCCACGTGGGTTGGACTCCAATGTCCATCATCTACAACTGTTAAAACCTTGCTAGTTGGGCATGACTGGAAGCCGTAATTTAACTCAGCTGACAGTTGCCAGGTTAGGCTGAAATAACAAGTGAAGAAAATGCAATACAGGGAAGGACGTGTAACATACTTGAAAACTGCATTTTTAGGCAGTCCTTCCAGCAATTATTTATGTTCAAAGCAAAGTCTGATATGAATCTTGCACAGCTGTTTCTCTTTAGGTCTCTTCTCTCCCCATACACATCTCTAGAGGTCTAGCTTTCTTTATAGCTCAAGCTTTCAGATAGCATCGCTCTCACAGCTCATGTTTCAGAGGCATTCCTTTTCATTAAATAAAATCTCTGCAAAAAACATCTTTTAAAATGGAAAACAAAGAATATTAAGCCCATAGTGCTATTATTCAGTAAAGATTTGTATCTTTAATGCAAGTTACATAAGAATACAGACTGATATAAGAAATGGTAGCTCTTTCTAACATTAAAAGTTTATTAATAGAAGCACAAACAAAACAAAAATCCATCAACTTACCTAACCAAATAGAGTTATGTAGAACTCCATCCTTGAAACCCCAGCCAGGAGTTCTATCCCACAACAAGGCAAAAAGAAAAGTTAAGACAATCATCTTTTTGGTTAAATATTCTGTACTTTCTGTTGAAGCAGCCTGGAAAACCACTGTTAGCAGCTGCTTAGTTACTAGTGGAACATCTGGTTGGCAGAACTTAAATAGCGTTTTCATCTGTGAGGTCAGAAAGCCTTCTCCAATTAAAGTGGTCATAGGATTGCTCACAATTAAACTGATCCCTGGTTTTTGTGAGGCTGACTCATTTTATGTCCTCTTAAAGGAAAGTCCAAAGTCTGTCTTTGTAAATGTGTAATTGTACAATTGCCAAGGCAAATGTCTAACTTTGACCTATGTTCAAATCTTCAGATATCTTTTAACACTCTCAAATCAAATCTTTATTATGGTCAAAGACCAGCATAAGGAGGGTGGGATACAGTCCATTAGAAAGCACAGAAAATTCATCCAAGTGATATAATTATAAAAAGCTAAAAGATATAACAGAAAGTTTTAACACTTTTGTATGTGACAAGCTGCCCCATGCATTTTTGCTTTTTGACATGTTTCATTGGAGTTTCTAGCTAACACAGCTCAGCAGTTATCACTGAGAAATGTTTGTCTTGGGAAAACTAAGATTCAGGAAACTATAATGGCAAATAAAATGAACAGTGGCATGCAATGAAAAAAACACATCAATAGTCTTCTATGCTAATTTCTGCTATAATAAGGGTACAGGTAGTCCTTGACTTACGACAATTGGGACCAGAATTTCCATCACTAAGCAATGCAGTCATAAAGTGAGACACCACATGACAGCATTGCATCGCTTAGCAACTGCAATCTTGGCGCTCCCTGTTGCCAATGTTAAGCAAATTCCATTGGTTGTTAGCTGAGGACCTGCCCCAATCCAAGCCATTCTGGGCTTGGTCCCTCCTCAGTAAGATAATGGACTGCCTCCAACTCCCCCCACCCACCTATCTCCCCCTCATCTCTGCCCTTTTGGCTGCCCTGCACCCTGCTTTGTAAGGGTGGCAAGCAGCTCCAGAACTGCACGGCTCTGGGACTGCTTCCCATGCTCCAGGCCAGGGGCTTCTTGGCCCTCCTTCCCCCTTCACTGTGCACACCACACCCTCTTTTGCTTGCTCAAGGACTCTCTAGGGGCCCCTCCGGGCACTGAAAGACTCTCCAGGGTTGCTTCTGGCACATGCTCTGCAGCACACGTTAGAAGCTGCTGGCTATTCGTGAGGCTTTCTCTTTCCTCCCACAAAGTCTTCCTCCTGCAGAGCCCCAGAGCCACAGCACAGCGTGAAGGGGGCACCAGTGCGTGTGAGCAAGCGAGTGAAGGGGGAAGGAGGGCACAGTGCATGCATGCGAGTGAAGGGAGGAAGGAGGGTGCGGTGCAGGTGAGCAAAGAAAGGCTAGGGTGGGTGGGGGAGACTTACCCAAGTGACTTGCGAGCTGCCCTGCTGGCTTCCCCATTCACTTTGATTATTGGAAGCCAGCAGGAAAGGTTGCAAATGGAAACCACATGATTGCAGGGTGATTGGCAACCAGTTGTAAGTGCAAACGGGTTGCCAAGCACCCAGATCACTATCATGTGACTGCGGGGGGTGCTGCAATGGCCATAACTTTGAGGACCAGTTGTAAGTCCATTTTTTCAGCACTGCTGTAACTTTGAATGGCTGCTGAACAAATGGTTGTAACTTGAGGACTACCTATATGCAACATAAAGGTCATGCAAATGAGGATGAAACAATAATTTTGTCATAGGTAGAGCTCTATAAATGTTTTAAAATGGTTTCTTATATCAAACTAATTAATAAAAGTATACATGCAAAAGGATTAAAAATATGTTATCTCAAAATTAATAATCATGATAAAAAAGTGAAAGGGAAAAAAAACCTGGGGAATTATGTGGTAAACAGAACAACTCCAAAAAATTGGGCCATCTTGATCAAAGTCTTCTTCCTTGCCACTTTGTGAAAAACCTACTTCAAATGTTGACAAACACCACATAGAAGTATATTGCTGGAAATCTGTCAGGTATAGATTATTCCTTTCAATGTTATATAATTTTTAGCCAGCCCTTTTGCCTGAAAAGTTCAGAATGTTTGCTATCTTGATAGATTTGAAATATTATGGATATAGCCAAGAACTTATGCATTCCTAACATGCAGCAGCTGATACAAAGTCATCTTAAACCTCAAATGTGACAAGACCAAGACATAGGTGTGAATGTTCCACTTTCTAAATTGCCTGACCAAAGCAACTGCAATCAACCCTTTTAAAACATTTTCTGAATGTTTATGCATTCTAAACTTAACACTTGCATTCTTCTTCAGGAATTGTTTTTGAGACCAAATCCAATACTGTTAAATAATATTTTAATAATGGATCCAGCTGTTAATACATCATATATTGACACTCAGTTTGGCAGTTTTAACTGAATGTGATTAGGAAGTGGACATATTTCGATGCAGTGTATACTGGAAATTCTGGGACTCACAGTCCCAACATATTTGGAGAGGGCCAGTTTAGGGAAATCTTTATGAACCAGCTTAGTTCACTAAGAACTAAGAGTCACTCCACAGTGAGATGGGTGGTAACAAATTTGAAATATAAATAAATAAAATAAATAAATGAAGAATGAACTGCAACATTCCATATTTGTTTGGCATACCTCCAGACTAATGAATTCTACCTTCTAGTTCCTGGATTATTTTGTATAATGGCTACACCTAATTTTATGCCATTTCCTTGCTGGGAATAACAATACAAGTGATTCTCAGATGGTAAGAAGTTGCCCACTCCAGTCCCTGTTGAAGCTGGCTGTACAAGGAACTGAGTTAAGTTCCATTCATTTGGTAATGGCAATCATTTTCTTTCAGCATCCATGTGTATAGCTTAGTGTTCCCTGCAAGGAAATATTTAGATAGAAAAGGTCTGATTTTCTATAAAAATAAAAATAGCATTGTCTTTGAGACAGAGGTAAATTTCATTTTCCCTGTTCCCAGCTAAGCTCTCATGTCTGATTCATGGTATGACAGCTGTCTGCCTGTGTCATCCCTTGTGGCTTCAGCAGCTGTTTTTGTGGTAGGTGGAACTAAGGATGAAAAGTTTGGAATGGAAAAATTTCTCAGACGTTTTCAATGGTCTCAAGGAGGAGTCAAGTTCCTTTTATTGCACAAGGGACTTTAGCAGATAATTTTCAAATACCTCAAGAAGAGGTTGTCAAGCCAGTTCAGCCTTAAACTTTATCTAATAACAACAAAACAAGCAGGAAGTCCAAGTGAAAAGAATAGGATCCTGCCTCTCTAGTGCTTGCTTGTTGCGTGTACAATTATGAGAGAAGCAGGGAAGCAGTTAATAGAAGCAAACAGTCTTACTGTTCCCAGAGGCATGGTTGTGTTAGCATTTTGCAGAAAAGCAAGAACAGTCTCGTGGCACGATGGAAATACTATCAAATAAAATGTCATGTAATAGAATGGATGGTTGTCAACAAAAGTTTATTTCCCCAAGTCCCAAGTGTGGTATTTAGGGGAGCCTATGTATCCTATGCAGGTGCAATTATCCTGCTTTGGATACATTATGCAAAGACCTAACTCTCTGGAGAAGGGTCTAAGGCAGTGTGGTCCAAACTTGGCCACTTTAAGATGAGTGGACTTCAACTCCCAGAATTCCCCAGCCAGCATGGCT